CTGTAATTAAAAAAAATACGTATAAATAATACTTCTGTTTTGCGCACATACATTATATTACTTTGCTATCCTAGAAAAAGCAAAATGATAAATTGAAAATTAGTTGAAACATAATTTACAAAAGACAGAAATATCACAATTTCTGAAGTGACTTCCGTAATATTTTAATACAATTACATTGTAAAAGTAGAATTTTCAAATGAGAAAAGCAATTTTCAGTTTTAAATGATTAAACGAAAGTTGTCCTAGAGTCTGTGCATTTTGCAATACAAGTTCTAAGAAATCAGTATGTTTTTAAAAAAGGGAATAATAACTGTACATCAGTGGTAACATTTTTATATAGCTCCAAAATCAAAATGCTATTGACGAATCTTCACCTACTGTACTTTAAGAATATCTTTGCTCTAACACGTATTAAAACAGAGTGCAGGATTATAAAGTTAGTAAAGAAAAAGTAGTCAACTTCTACCTGAGCCCCTTCAAAACATTAATTTCATGTTCCTTATCACCTAGCAATTTTTGTGTTGTTTACTACCTTGTTTCACAACTATTATTTTTAGAGATGGAGATCAATAAAATAATTAGTATTTTAGCTTTTCAACTAAACTTATACACAACATATAACCTTATAAAATAACAAGTATTTCTAAATAATTAATTTAAAAATTCAATCACTTTTAGGTAGGTTAAGGCAATTTGAGAATGATATTACCTACACATTCTATCTAAATCTGTAAAATGACTATTTTGATTAGGTAGGTAATTCTTTTTTTGGCAGTCATAGCTACATTTTAAAAATAGGGCTTAAAACCATATTACCAAAGGTTACTAAAAAATTACTACAGTCACATGTATACTTATAACGATGCAATGTACTCATATAAAGTGTAGGCATTTGAGGCCATTTGTATTGAAACATCCAGCCACAAAAACCAGCATATGTTGATTTATTTAATCACAATCAAATGAAAAGTATAGCATGAGTATGGCATCCTCCTAGCCCCTAAAATTAATAGATATTTACATTTAAAATTGTATTTTGGTAGCACAAAAATACATATGTCACTGTTTTATGACTCTCTGGGTAGATGAAAAACTGTGAGTGTGTGTCACTGACGAAGCACTGAAGGATTACTTTCCCTGTCCTAAACATTTACATGGGTAGGCTGAAATAATTTGTTAAAATTTGAGCAAGAATTTAGTTTATCTATCAAATATTAATTACCTAATTTTTAACAAGTATTGCCATGCTATCTTTTAAACAGATTTGGGTGAGAATATTTTAAAGAAATAGAGCTACACATATTTGGCATTTTGCTCTTGAGGATAGCAAATGGTGAAAGTATAAATTCAAATTCTAGACTGGGTCATCTCATAAATATATCCACATATATTATGCACATGCACACATGCATGTGTGCATGTGTGCACACACACACACTTTCCTTTCCACACATATAATAGAATCACAGAACTTTGTTTCATTCAGATTTTTCTATATAACCATTTCATTTTATTGAAAAGAAATCTAAATTTTCTAGAAACATTTCTTAGGCATGTCGAATACATCCCTCATATTCCCCCTGATTAAATGCATTCAGTTTCAAGCAGTAGACTGAGAGGTAAGTTTTTAACATGTTAATTTTGTTCATGGAATTTTTTTGGTAGAAAATTATTTGTCTGAAATGCTGAATTAAAGTATGTTAAAGTGTTATAATTAGAAACTTAAACCATGATTATATCTTAAACCAATTATAAAGGTGATTTAAAATCAACCTTATATTTTATCCTGTGCACACAAAATACTGAGAAAATTTACTTTTAAGGATTTAAATCCTGAATATCAAATATGATTACTCTTTATAAATATTTCTTTTTAAAATCAGAAGAGTTTTGCAATAAAATATTGCTGAAAACATTTATATGCTAACAAACTAGTGTTCTAAAATAAATTTTAGAAATAAAAATATGTTAAGCAACCAAAAGTTTCAAAAGAGCTATTCTTAAATTATTTTAAATTCTAGTATCACTGTTGTTTTGCTCAATGTAATGATTACCTGTGTGATTATACTCCAGGAAGAGAACAACAGCACATGAAATGTTAATTATGAAAACTATCCTATAGACTATCAATAAAAAGTAACTAAATACATAATTTTATAACATCCACTCTAAAATCACTGTTTCTATGAGATGTGGAACAATGGGATTAATTTCTACCATACTGCACACCATCTCATACTATATTTACTGCACCCAAATTTTTTTTTTATTTTTTAAACTCGAGGACTAATTCTATCCTTCCCAAAAGAACTTGCAAATGTGTGCCTAGTACTCACATATTTGCACATTGCCAACCTTTCTTTAATTTCTCCCTTTAATAATTTTTCTTTCTTTTCAATATTCAAAAATTCTGAAATAATGCATAGTTTAGAAACTGTGTGGACTCTTCATAAAAGTAAAAATCCGTATCTTTAGAAATTAAAGAATTATACCATATTATCTATCCTCATACTAAAGAAGTCTTTACGTAGTAAGCACTATTCCCTGGAATTTAGTTTATAACTATTTAAATAGATGAGACTGACGAATGTCAGAGGGATGGAGGAGGGCGGGTGGGTGGAGGGAGAGAGAGTAACCAAAGAATTTATATGCGTATATGCATAACCCAAGGACATGGACTGGGGAGAGGGTGGGACAGGGTGGAATGGGTCCCTGGGGAGAAAAAGGGACATCTGTAATATTTTAAACAAAAATAAACAAAAAAAGATAAATAAAAAAAAGACAAAAAAGAAAATTAGCTATTTCAAAAATTAGTAATATGTGTCCTATAAAATAATAAGAGCATAATAAAATCAACATAAATTTAAAAAAAGAATCTTATATAAAATATTGTCAGCCATAATTGCTGTTTTATCAGATACTGAAGTGGCCCCCAAGTTTTGCTGGTATAACTGGCATTTGTCTATGTATAGCTAAGGCGTGTTATGATTTAAAAGAAGATATTAATGACTGCATATTAATATTTATAATATGTAGCATTTCTTGACTTTAGATAGTAATAATTCTGCATAAGATTACTTATCTTAGAAGTTAAATTAGTAATATAAGGAAATATAAAGTTATTAAATTCCAAATTCAATAAATGTAAGTAATTACTAGCCTAGCCAAGGAATATGTCACCCAGTTTTTATTTTTGACACAAGGCCATTAAAAACCTCTTGGATTTACACTATCTTTTTTCTTAATGGATTAAAAATATATTCATATCTATTTGCACACTTCACATTAACCTAATATGGACACAGACAGAAAACAGACTCTTTAATAAGAAGTTGGGACCAAAAAAAAGTAATTCCTTTGCATATTATCTCAGAGAGAGCAGTGCTCTATTTCCATTTTACGTGTTAAGTCAGAGCCAAGTAACAGCAGTGTGGAAGCCTGGAGATGGTGGGCAACTGAATACTGGGTGGGGTGAGGGGGTGGGGGAGAAAAGGAGCGTGAGGAATTATATAAAACAGCCTATTTGCTTACTTCTTACATACAGGAATGCAGCATTTACTAAAGGAAAAGTCTGCATTGACATGCCTGCATCCCCACTGAAATGGTATCAGATTTTAATCATATGCGCAGCTTCATTTTCTTTGGTGAAGTCTGTTAAGACACTGACACATAAATATGTGTATTCTTATTTCTAAAGAATTGAGAGAAAGAAAAAAACTGGATCTTAAACAGCACACAAATCATTTGGTGTAACATGTATCACTAAATCAGGTGCATTCTTGACAGTTACAAATCAGTTTTCCCTTCAGAACTGTGATCTATAGTCTTGTCATCCACCCAATCTTTCATGGAGCGCTTACCGAGCGGCCCAGGCCCGTGCTGGGAGCTGGAGATAAAGGATATAGATGACACTGCTCCTGCCTTTAAGGAACTTCTAGATTAGTTGTAGAAAACTGATGTATAAATGTATCAGTGCAGAAATGTCTTAAATGTACTGCTACAAAAGTACATAAAAGGTACAAAAGAGACACAAAGACTAATTTGAAGGAGAAGGGGTAAAGTATTCTTTGGGAGATGATGATTATCTAAATGTCTTTCATATTTTTGTGCTATCAGCATCCCATTCTTTACTACCAGATATTCCCATAAGCTTGGTCTGTTATCTCTGTGTTGTAAAGTTCCTGTTCAAATCTAACCCCGTTCTAGTACTGAAGATCTGCAACCACAAAAGAGCCTCTATGGGAATCTTATGAAACGTATTTAAAATAACAAAAATGTAGGTTTTAATAGTGATATGTTTCTGATCGAAAATAAACATTAAGACAAACGAATTTATTCCTCTGCCATATAAGAACTCCAACTCATTATGGTGTTATAAAGGTCTGAGAGTGTCTGTGAGGCATCATGTGTCTTCTTCATCGTGGCAGGAACGTTATTGAACTATTTCATTAAGCCATACCTTAAAGTAAATGCAAAACTAGTTCCACTGTAATTTAAAATATCCCAATTAATAGTATGGACTATCTCATTTAGGCCTGCTACATATGTATGCCTTATATTCATAAAGCAATTTAATAATAGATGCCTGTTAGCTCATTCATTCCTTTATTCAGCTATGTACTGATTTGGGGCTGAGCAGGTGACATAGGATGGTCCAATAAGAGTTAGCCTGAGAATTTGATGAAACTGTTGGGATAGAGATACCTGTTTCTAATCCAGTAAAACACAGCTTGATATTACCAGTGACTATTTTCTCATCATATGGAAAGAGGGAGAATCAGACTGAAAATAGTTAACCTAAATAAAAGGGAACTCCAGAAATGGAGAGAGAGAAAGTTCTGATAGTATTTTGGCATCTGAATCCAACCATGTCTAAAGCCAGAACAGAATCAATAATTACTTTTATTTAAGCCACTTTGAGATGGAGTTCTGAAATTTGTAACCAATCAAATAGTATCCATGAGAATATTTTTATGTTCTTGTTATATCATGTACTA